TCTTTTTTTTTTTTTTTTTTTTGCTGAGGAAGATTGGCCCTGGGCTAACATCCATGTCCATCTTCCTCTACTTTATATGTGGGACGCTGCCACAGCATGGCTTGATGAGCGGTGTGTAGGTCCATGCCTGGGATCCAAACCCACGAACCCCAGGCCACCAAAGTGGAGTACGTGAACTTAACCACTACACCACGGGGCCAACCTCTGGTGGGTTTGTTTTTTCTTGAGGAATAGTCCACATACAGTGAAGTTCACCCTTCTAATGTACAGTTCTATGAGTTCTGACAAATGTATACAGTCATGTAACCACCACGACAATCACAGTATAGAACATGGCCAATACCCCAGAGAGTTCCCCTGTGTCCCTTTGCAGTCAATTCCCACCCCCAGACCTTAGTCCCTGGCAATTATGGATTCTGACTTTTCCAGAAAGTCACATAAATGGAATCTGACAGTATGTAGCCATTTGAGTCCGGCTTATTTCTCTCAGCATGACACATGTGAGGTTCATCCACGTTGTGCATCAATAGTTCATTCCTCTTTATTGCTGAGTAGAGTCCATGGACAGATGGACCACAGTTGTCTATCTGTTCACACGTTGAAGTCTTTTTATACAGATAATGCAGGAGAAAGCAGGTTTGAGCAGATCTCCTGGGCCCCCGAGACTGCCCATCCATAGATACTCCCCTGTCGTCTATCCGAACACCCTTCCATCCTCCCCCAGCCCCAGCCTGTCAAAAATCCTTTCCTTTCCTTCAAGGCTTTTTTCAAATGCCCTCTCCCCAACAAGGAGCAGTCTACTGTCCCCATGTCACAGATTTGTAAAGTGAGGTTCAGAGAAGTGTAGCTTTCTCCAAGGGCCCACAATTCGAGTATAGTAGAGTCAGAGCTCAAACCCAGGCCCAAGGAGAGTGGGGGTAGCCCAAGGGCCAAAGATCAGCCTCTTTGCAGGCTGGAGGGGTGGTGGGAGGTCAGGCCTCCATCTGCCATCTCAGCCCTGAGAATCTGCCAGCATGAGGGTGACAGAGAAGGGGCAGGTCCATCCTGTGGAGGAGGGGGCATCTCTGGCAGATCCTATCCTGCGTCAGTTCCTCCATTGGGATCCTTCACTCACCCTTCCAGCTGGTACCTGAGCCCTAGGCCAGACCCAACCCCTACCACACAAGCCAACATTAGTCACCAGAGCACCAGCCTTGCCCAACCAGGCCCATCTGGCCCAGCTTACCCATCCCAGGGCCATGCTGGTGGGCGGGGGTGGCAAATTGGGTGATGGGCCCCAGCTGTGGGAGGCCTGTGCCCCGCCCAGCCACTTGAAGCCGCTGGACAAGTCGGGGACCAGTGAGGGTTCTTAGGGAGCTCCCATCACTCAAGATGACCCCAAGCTACCCTGAGGCCTCAGCCCAGCTCTGCAGACCTGAGGAAGCCCCTGGGCAAGGAGTCTTGGAACCTATCCCACCAGGTGGTGACCTTGGGCAAGTCTTCTGGGCCTCAGTCTGTCCATCTGCAGATAAGAAGCTTGGAGGAGATGCCCGAGAAGGTCTCACAGCAGGAATGAACTTGCTATTTGACTGCGTGGAGCAGAAGCTCAGGGCCTAGGAGTCTGCATTTTAAACTAGGTTCCAGAAGGTTCTTGACTCACAGGAAAGTCCGAGAGCAGCCTCAGAATAGGTCTATTTACCCTTATCCACCCCGGTGCCCCGCAGCCAGCCACATGTTAGAATCCCCGGGGGCTGATAGAGGTCTGGTGGGGAGAGCATGAGAAGCTGCCCTAGGGGGATGATGGTAGCCTGGCCCGGAGTGGAGGAAAGTGGATAGATTTGAAACTCACACTGGGATCATAGTGGCCAGAACTTACTAGTGGATCGAGTGGTGGCAGTTGAGAAAAAGAGAAGAGTCAAGGATGAGGTCTGGGCTGGGGACTAAGATTGCGTCCATTTACTGAGATGGAAAGATGAGAGGAGGATGGGGTGGGCATGCAGGGAGGGTGGCGGTGGGAGCTGAGGAGCCAGGGTTCCACGTCAGATGCTTTTGCTTGAGACGCTTGCTGGAAACCCGTGTGGAGATGGCGAGTTGGGGGGACATTCGGGGGAGCAGTCTGGGTGGGAGATGGTGCCGTCAGCATGCAGGGATGTGAAAGTCCTAGGACCGGCCGGAGCACCTGCAACAGGGCCCTCACACATTTGGGGCCTCGGACGCTTTGGCCTCTGTCTGGTCCTGGGTGAAGCTTATGGATCTCTTTTCAGAATAATACTTTCAAATGCATAAAATAAAAGTATAAGAATCCCCAGTGATATTGCAATTATAATCAAAATATTAAAAATTAAATCTGTGCTCTAATGCTAGCGTTATCCAGTGATGGGTTTGAGAATGTCCATAATTCTGAAGTCATGATGAGTTAAAAAAAAATTTAAAAACCCAGCATTTAAAGATACTATAACACCTGTGTTGTGATATGGAAATATTTGTGATTTCTATTGGTAATAAAGTTGCAGGATCAGGTAATAGAGCTATGGTTTGTGGCCTATGCTCATAATTGAAGGAAATATCAAATTTTAATTACAGGTTAGTGAATAAAAATGTAATTTTTTCCTCATCCAAGTCCACAGACAACCTGAATTCTCCTCACAGACCCTGTGGGCCCCCATGAAGGACTCTTGACCTAGGGAGAGAATGTACAGAGAGACGAGAGCTCAGGACTGGGCCAGGAGAGCCCCCCAACATGTGGGAGCCTGGCGAAGGGGGAGTCAGAGGGGTGTGACCGGGGGAGCGGGTAGGAGGAAAACTAGGAGAGGCTGCATCTGGGAAGTGCTTCCAGAAAAAGGGCGTGGCCATCTGGGTTCCTGCGCTGAGATGGAGAGGAAGAGGGGACATAGAAGTGTCCCCTGGCCCTCCCTTGTCAAGGAGGCCACCACGAGGCGAGTTAAAGAGTGAAGGGGCTCCTGGGGCTGGGGAGACAGGCCCGGGGGGTGGGGCATAGGATTCAACAGTCTGGTTTATATTTTTTCTTGAGTGTGGTAAATACACAGATTTCATTATATTGTTCTTTACGCTTTTCTGTCTGTGTGAAGTACACCATGATAATATTATTAAATTTTTTTCAAAGGTGAAGGTGGGCATGGAGGTGAGAATATGGAGACAACTTGTCCAAGTTTTGTCACTGAGGGGAGCAGAGAAATTAGAGACAGCTGGAGGGCGCTGTGGGCTCAGGATATATATATTTTTTTGAATTCTTAGACAGGAGCTATTGGAGCACATTGTGTGTTGCAGGGGACAGTTGGGGGTGGGGGGTGATGCCGGGGAGGAAGGAAAGGGCCAAGGGGACAAAGGCTTGAGAAACTCGGATGTGCTGGTCTCCACGGTGCTCAGTCCCTTGTGACCCGTACACCCCGGGTTCTCACATCTGAGCGAGCATCAGCTTCACCTGGAGGGCCGGAAGCCACCCCAGAATTTCTGATTCAGTAGGTCTAGGCTGGGACCTAGAAATTTGCACTTCCAGCAAGCTCCCGAGTGACGCTGCTCCAAGGACCGCAATCTGAGAACCACTGCTCTCAATACCAGCGTCGCCCACGTGCGCCCCCTTCAGGATTTGACGTTGCACTACAGTCGTACGTGCTCCTTCATAAGCATTCGCGGGGAGGAAGGGATGGGGAGGAAGGGATGGGAGCAGACAGTTGAGATGGAAGAGGGGAGAAGAGACCAAGGAGGAAACAGCTGGACCCTGGCCCCCCCAGCCAAGGTCACCACCTCTCCCCGGGGAGCACCAGTCTTCCCAGGGACCCTGGGAGCTGCCCTGTCAGACCTCCTGGAAGACTGAGCCAGAGGGTGAGCAAAGGAGCCAGGGCCGGGGGTAGGGACGCTGGTGAGAGCCAGCCTGTGTGCGGAAGGGAAGGGAGCGGAGGGGGGGTGCCAGCTCCCTGCCCGCGGGCACTGAGCCCTGAGAACACGCTGTTCACCTTTGCAGCTTGATCCTGGTCTCGCGCCAGACAAGCTTCTCCTGCTCCTGGGAAAGAGAGAAACCCTGTCAGAGAAATGAATGTTAGCTTGTCGGATCCCAGAACATCCGAGCCAGGAGGACCCTTGGAGACTGGCCGGGTCAGCCGTGTTTGGCAGAGGAAGGGGGCCAGAAAATAGAAAGTTCAGCTTGGCAGATGGATCTGAAAACCCTTGTACAGGGAAAGATGCGTCCCCACTCCCTGATGGCTGGCTCCCCCTGGGAAACTGGGTAACAGGCGTGATATTGGGGGCTCTGCTCTGACCCTTGGTGCTCCCCCTCTTCCATCAACTCATCGAACAGGTATCTATTGAGTACCCACTGTGTGCTAAGCATTGAGCTACACATGGAGATAAAGTGGTGAGCAAGACCAAGCCCCTGGCTTCATGGAATTGACGTTCCAGAAGGTGAACCAGGCAACAGACAGATAAACATGCGATATAAAGTCGGGGAGCAATAAGTGGTGGGAAGCAACCTGAAATGACATGAGAGGGTGAGCCATGCACATGGGGGTGGGGGGGAGGCTTCCAGGCAGAGGGCACTGCATGTGCAAAGGCCCTGAGGTAGCCACATGCTTGCTGTGTTGGAGGGATGTCATAGAGACCAGTGCATCTGGCACAGAATGAGGGAGAGAGGACTAGAAGAGGGAATCAGCGTGGTAGCGGGGGCCAGGTCATGGAGGAAGCTGCAGTTGTAAGGAGACTTTGGCTTTTCCTCTGAGTAAGATAGGGACCCTGGGAGGGTTTTGAACAGAGAAGGAACGTGATTTGACTTAGGTTTAACAGGAGCCCTCTGGCTGCCGAGTGGAGGATGGACTTGTATAGGACAAGGATGGCGGCAGAGAGGCCAGGGAGAAAGCTACTGGAATAGTCCAGGCAAGAGGTAACCGTGGCCTGGACTGGCAGGGAACCTCCCTGGTTGCTCTGTGTACTTCCATGGGGACACATGGAAGGGACAGGAGCCTTCCCCCAGGCCCTACCCATGACCCCAGCCCATGGTCTCCCCACAGCTAGAAAGGTACATCCAGATGAACTTGAGGTCGGAGCTGGCGCAGGCCCAGCAGCACATGGTCCAGAACCAGACGGCCACCATGCTGGAGCTGGGCACCAGCCTCCTGAACCAGACCACCGCCCAGACCCGCAAGCTGACCGACGTGGAGGCTCAGGTACCCGAGGGTGAGCGGCGGCCCTGGAGGGGCCTGTGGCAGGCCAGGCTGGCTCACAGCCCGGATCATCTCGCCTTGAGCTCTGTCCCTGGGTGAGGTCAGGGCCTCCTCTGGGCCTATAGCCCCCTGGGGCCCCTCCCTGATGAGCCTGTCACAGAACTGCCTCCCGCCACGTCCCAAGCCCTGGAGGCGGACACTGGGTTGGCTCTTCTGCCTCTGTGACTCCAGCGCCAGGACTGTGCTGGGCACGGGGGTGAGAGGGTAGTGGCAGAGCCCCCACCCCTGCTCTCAGGCGGCTCACAGTGCTCCTGGGGAAGATGGTAATAAACAAGCCATTAGACCTCAGGGGGCCAACGATGCTGAGAGAGGAGGCACTGGGAGCAGAGAGAGGGAGGGCGGGAACAGGTGTGTACGTGGGAGAGTGAGTGAGTGAATGGATGAAAGACGACCGACAAGTGGGCACGTTGTGTTGAACCCCTGCTATGTGCCTGGCACTGTTGGAGGTGCCCTCGTCCGGTTTACAGCAGTAAACAAAACAGGCACACATCCCTCCCCTACAGAGCTTCCTTCCTAATGAGCACCCGGAAAACGACCAGGATGAATAACATACGCGTGTGAGATAGTGACAGTGCTCGGACAAAACAGCATGGACAAGAGAGCGACACGGATGTGTGCTGGGATGGGTGAAGGCATGAGCTGCAAGTTCAGACAGTGAGGCCAGGAAGGGACCACTGAGAAGTAGGATTGGAGCCAGGCTTCCTGGGAGAGCCTTCCAGACAGGGAGGACAGCACGTGCAAAAAGGCCCAGAGGTGGGACCGTACTGGCAAGCTCTAGGCGCACCAGGAAGCCAGTGTGGCTGGAGTGACCGGGGGAGAGTGGGGGGCAGGGGGTCGAGGGGCGATGGGGACAGGTGGCATCACAGGGCCTTGTGGGCCATGGTCAGGCCTGGGGCTTGTCCACCGCGTGACGTGGGAGCCACAGGAAGATTCCAAGCAGAGAGGCCACATTTAAAAGCCTGCCTCAGGCTGCTGAGCAGAGAATGGGCTCTAGGGGACAAGGTGGGAACAGGGAGCCCTGTGAGGAGGCTGGAGATGACACGGGGCCAGAGATGACCGAGGCCAGGGCCAGAGCGGGGGCCGCGGAGTGGGGGGCAATGGTCAGGTCCCCATATGGAATGCGGAGCTGATGGGACTTGCTGATGGACTGGCTGTGGGGGTCGAGGGTGACTCCTCTGGGGCCTGAGCAGGAAGAAGAGTGGAACTACTGCGTGCAGTGATGGGGAAGAGCACATTTAGGGAGAGACTACAAACTCAGTGAGTGAGTGAACGAATGAACGAATGAATGAATGAACGACCACAGGAACTAACTCCCGGGAGGGTGGAAATAGGTCAGCAAGCATCTGGAATGGCAGGGCCCACGGGCAGGTGGGCAGCTGCTGGGCAGGACTCCCACGGGGCTTATGTGGACCCCTCCCCCTCCTGTTTGCCGGGGCAGGTCCTGAACCAGACATCGCGCATGGAGATCCAGCTGCTGGAGACCTCGCTGTCCACTAACAAGCTGGAGAAGCAGCTGCTGCTGCAGGGCCGTGAGCTCCACCGGCTGCAGGGCCAAAACAGGTGGGCGCCGGCGCCCTGGTTGGGACCCAGAGTGAGCACCGGAGCCGGGCTGGGCTGCGGCGGGGCCAGTGTTGGAAGCTGGACTTGGGCTAGTGCCCGGGCCAGGGGCTGGGGCCAGAGCGACAGGCCCGGCTGCTGGAGCGAGCGAGCATCTGCAGGGGCCGGGGCTGGAGCGGGACGGGAACTGGGTCAGAGCTGGGGTGAGGGCTGAGGCCAGGGTGGGAGACCAGACTGCAGCTGGGAGTGAAGGTGGCCACGGGGGCTGGACTGAGGCTGGGGCTGGGGGCCAGGCAGGCACAGGGCCTGGCTACCCGCCCCCAGGCGGGGACAAGGGACAGGCATTTTCCTGGGGCTCAGAACACCCTGATTCTTTCTCCGTTCTTTCTTTCTGTCCTTCTCTTTCTTTTCTTTCTTCGTTTCTTCCTTTCTTTATTTATTTTATAAATTTTTAATAGCTTTATTGAGCTACAATTTACATGCCATACAATTCACCTTGTAAATTTTAATTTGATCCCCTTATTTGTAAATCAACAATCTGATCTCATCCACCAAGTCCTCTTGCCAGAGGCAACCGCAGTTACCAGTTTCTGGCCTGCACCAGAGAGGCTCTGCATCTATAAGCAAATACGCGTGACGGGAACACCCTTCAAATTACAAAGGGAAAAAGAGTCACGGGGTACAGATAAGGCGGAGAAACAGACATCCGAGGCTGATTTCATCTCGGTTTCCAGCTGAGTGGAGAAAAATCTGCCAAGGTCAGGGTGCCGGGGGAGGCCTGTCCACACACTGAAGCAGCCACAGGCCTGTGCACGGGGCGAGGTGTTATTGCTGCTCACGTGCTGGGTCCGGATAAGGCTCTGAGGATCACCAGCTCCCTCTGATCTGGCTGCAGTTAATAATAGCTTGTCCACCTTCGTATTCTGATTCCCTCATCCCAAGGCACTCCCTCTGAATTGGCACCAGGTGCCTAGAAATCAGTGAAGATGGAGGGTGTCGACAGTAAGCTTTTGGCCCATGGAGACAGCCAAAATTCTAGAATCCGAGTGTGCCCAAAATCTCTCTCTTCCTGCGGCATAATGTGGGGCCCAGGGGGAGCTTCTTCTGCCCTGGCTGGACTCATTTTCTTAGTCTGGAGAAGGGGTCGGCATAACCCCATGCATAGGAGAATGTCTCCCTCCTGCCCCTCTCCCTCAGCCACCGCCCCCCGCCGGCAGAGGTCACCCTGTTCCTAGTTCTCGTACGTCCTTCGGTTATTCAATCCATGATTATTTTTTGAGCTCTTACCATGTGTCAGGCACTATTATAGACGCTGGGGTTACAGAAGTGAACGAATACACAAAAATCCCTGTCCTCGCGGAGCTGACATCTATAAGCTCATATTCCAGGGTTTCTTATGAATATGCAAACACATAGGTATGTATAGGCCCTTTTTGGGCCTTTTTAAGCCCAAATGTAGCATGCCGCTCTTCCGCACCTTGTCTGTTTTTCAGTTGTCCTGGAAATGGTTCTATACCTGCGTGACACACTTGCTCATTCTTTTCTCCCACTGCATCATGTTCCGCTGTATGGCTGTCCCCGAATTCATCTCCCCAGTTCCCAATTAGTGGGTATTGAGGATGCTTCCAGTCTTTTACCACTCCACCCAGTGATGTGATGAATAACGTTCCCATAGCTCATTGCACACGCGTGTGAGCAAATCTGGACAGTAAAACGCCTAAAGTGGCAGATGTGAGTCAAAAGCTTCTTTCTCTTTTAAAACTTTTCCCCTTTTTGTCCCCAAGTCATTACAAAAATGCCTCATGCTTGTTACATCATCAGACAATAGAGGCCTATACAAGATGAAAGGGAAAGTCGGTCCCCTCCCCCAGCCTCCTCTCCATCGCCATCACTCCGACCTGCTCTGCAGAAGTAACCGACTTTGCAGGTTTTCTTCACTTTCTCTATAAACACAGGCACCACTGTGTCCTTCCACGTGTCTTTTCACATCTTTTCCTAGAAGTTCACCCATATCCCTCTCCATTTACATTAATATCTTTTTTTTCTTTTTTCTTTTTTTTGTTTTTTTGTGAGGAAGTTCGGCCCTGAGCTAACATCTGCCAATCCTCCTCTTTTTTTTTTTTTTTTTGCTGAGGAAGACTGGCCCTGGACTAACATCCATGCCCATCTTCCTCCACTGTATATGGGACGCTGTCACAGCATGGCTTAACAAGCGGTGCATCGGTGCGCGTCCGGGGTCCGAACTTGCAAACCCCAGGCCACCAAAGTGGAGTGCACGCACTTAACCGCTGCGCCACCAGGCCGGTCCCTACATTAATATCTTTTTTCTTCCTCTCTGTTTTATCTTCCCACATGTGGCGTTAGACTAGAGGCGTTCACGTGCCAGGGCATTCCACTCCAAGTTCTGGGCATCCTTCCAACTCCGTGCAAACGTGCTCTGCCTCCTTCCTCTGCACGGCTCCGGAACATGTCCAGGGACACCAAAACAGAACAGGCTCAGCCAGTCCTGGCTGTTGGGTATTTAGGCTGTTTCCTTTTTCCCTGTTACAACCAATCTAGCATCGGGCGTTCTTGCCCATGCTCCCTGGAGGTTATCTTCTGAGAGTGGCCGCTAGGTCAAAGGGCAAGCATATTTGGGATTTAATAATGGCTACCTGGTTGCTGGCATGTCCCTCCCACCTCCACCTCTTTCCCCTACTGGATTCCAACCCATCTTACTCCAGGGCCGGGTCTCTCTTTCCTCCCCTCCTTACTCTGTGCCGTGGGTAGGCACGGCCCTCCGGGCTGTGTAACCCGGACGGAACGCTCTACCCTTCTGAGCCTCAGTGCGGGTCTGACCGCGGCGTCAGCCCGGGACGCAGGGGACAGCGTGCGAGTGTGACTGCAAGGTGGGGACGGCGGGCTTACCTCTGTGCGCCCCCGCCCCGCAGCGCGCTGGAGACGCGGGTGCAGGCCCTGGAGACGCAGCAGCAGGCGGAGCTGGCCAGCCTCCGCGGCGAGAAGGAGCGGCTGCGGCGCCTGCTGGGCCGCCAGAACGGCGCCCTCGCCGGCCTCGAGCGCAGCCTGCGCGCCGCCAGCAGCAACTCGAGTCTCCTGCAGCGCCAGCAGCACCAGCTGCTGGAGTCGGTGCAGCGCCTGGTGCGCGTCGTGGGCCAGGGCCCGGGTGAGCGAGCGGGCGCGCCCCGGGCGGGAGGAGGGCGGGAGAAGGGCGGGAGAGGATAGGCCCTGCTCACCGCCCGCCCGGGGTCACTCCAGGGCCTGGAGGCCACCGGGGGGAAGCCTTCGTCCCTCTCCCACCGACTGTGAAGTAGAAATAACCACAAACAATAATAATAATGGTGACGACAACAGTCCTGAGAGGAACCAATCCAGACTCTACTGGCTGACTCCATGACTGACCTCGGGCATGCCCCATCCCTCTCTTGGCCTCAGTTTCCCCATCTGTTTAATGGAGGTGATGGTGATAACAAGGACACCACTAGACCAGACTGACAGGTTTGAGTTCCAGGATCCACCCTTCATTCCCACTTGCTTGGGCTCACCCCACCCCTCCCGGCCTCAGTTTCCCTATCTATAGAATGGGGAGGTCGGACTCCATGCTCCCCGAGGACTTCTCTCACCCTAATGCCCCTGCCTCTACGCCCAAGAGGGCCAAACAGAAGTGAGGAGGCATCCCCGCCCCTGGCAGCTCCCAGCCTTCCCTGGCTCCTTCTAATGGGGCCCACTGGGGGTGGCCAAGGCATTCCGGGTTCCAGCTTCAATCAGTCAGACAACAAACACTTACTGAGCACCCACTGTGTGCCAGCCCAGTGCTGGTGCTGGGGACACAGTTGTGAATAGCACAGTGGTGCCGCATGGTCTCTTGCAAAAGTGCCCCACCCGCGATCTGTGGGTCTCTGAGGGAAGGAGGAGGAAATGCACATTTGCTGAGTGCCTACTATGTGCCAGCTGCTCTGCTTGCAGTGTTCCTGAAGTTTCCAGACCGTGAAAGGCCTAAAAGGCTGGGCTAAGGAGAGGGGGCTTTAACCTGAGGCAGTGGGGAGCCGCAGGAGGGTGTCGAGCAGGGTGGGGCTGTGTTTTAGGAAGCCTGATTGGAAGCGGGGAGTGGAGAATGGCTTGGTGAGAGAGCAAGACGGAGGAAAGGGTTCTGCCTGCTGCCAGGTCGCCATAGGAGGAGCTGGAAAGGCACTAGGACTCAAGCAGTAGTGATGGCTTCCGGGCCCTGTGGCTGGCAGCAATCTGGGGACAGAGGACGGCACCATGGTTCCATCTAAGTTGGGCAAGCCCTGCTGGGTAGAGGTGTGAGGCATGAGGTAGGAGAGCCAGATACCTTCCAAACTGTGAGATGGAGAGAGACCTGACCCCGTCACCATCCTGTGCAGAGCCCTGGCGGTGAGGCTCCCTACATCCATTCCACATGTGGGTTTCTTGTCGCTCAGCCCAAGGCACGGGGCCTGGGCCCGAGGCCTCCCCACAGGCTGACCGCTCACCCAGTCCCAGCTGTGGTCAAATGTCTGCTCACCAGTCTGGGTGGGAGGCTGTCCGGGCACCTGGCCTTGGGCACCCTTTGCCCGAACGCCCTGTCCTCCTGCCCCACTGTCTCCAGGGAAGGGCACTCCCGAGTCGTGTTTCCCGCCCTGTGTAAATGGAGAAACTGAAAGAGGATTGGTCACCAAACAGAGACAAGCCCAGGAACCAGGCATCCGTGAAGCCAGCAGGAAGGCTACACCTCTCTCTGCATAGCTTTGTCCTAGGCTGGTGGAAGCTGGCCAAGAGTGGAGAACTCAGGGCATTCGGAAGGTTAGGTGGACAGGGACACGGGGAGAAAAGACCTAACCCGTGCACAGTATCAGAAGCATTATCAGTTAACATGGTCTGTTTGCCGGCCTTACACAGGCTCGGTGTTGGAGACCCAGGGGGGTGGGTGGTAGGAAGGACACTGGCTTTGTAGTCAGATGGACCAGAGTTCAAGCTCTGGCCCCATCACTTACTAGCTGTGGGACTTTGCACAAGTCATTTAATGTCTCAAATCCTCAATTTTCCTCACCTATAAAATGGGAATAATAATAGCACCCATCTCACAGAGGATCAGATGCGTTTGTGCACAGGGAGGGGCTGAGCACAGTGCCTAGGGCCAAAAGGGGGAAAATCTGGTACAAATTACCAGCCCAGAGACTCAGAGGGGGCCCAGGCTGGGGCCAAACGATGTTGCATATCAGTACCAGTCCATCCTTACTCTTATGCTCCCTGAAAATATTTTTCCTGGCCCCAAACTGCCCCGGCAGTACCTGGCTGAGACACACTACAATGCATGGTGGGTACTTCACTGTTATTGTTATTGTTGTTGTCGTCATTGCTATGTTGTTGACTAAGGAAAACACTAGTGCACAGAGCCTTGGGAAGGGGGGCTGGGATGTGAGGCCAACTCCCAGCTCTGCCCTCGTCTGCCTGGGTAAAGCTGGGCCTGTCCCTGCTCGCCTGAGGCCAGCACCTTCCTGTGCTTGGCTGGACTCCCATTCCCCACAGACCAAGGGCTGACAGGTGGGGCCATGGAGACCCTGCCCAGGGAACATTTGTGCACAGGCGGGGCTGGATTTGGGTCCTTAGTCACTTCATTTGTAATCTGAGAATAACAGCCTCCTTCGCACAGGTGCCCCAGCTCCAGGACCCAGGATCCAGGCGCAAGTGTGAGGCCAAAACAGGAAGTCCCGCCCCTTGGTAGCCTCCTGGTTCCTCGTTGGTGAGGATACCTATCCATCTGGAACTTTAGCCCTATCCCTGGATACCCACCTACCCAGAGATTGGATTCTGGTGGAATTACAGCCCAACCCTCTGATTGGATCCCACTAAGGGAGCCAGAGAGGGGATGTGAATACCCTGTAGTTGATTTATCAGCAGTCATGTTTTTCAGGCCAGGCCTGGAGGCTTCCAGGGCCCTGGTGGGATTCTGTCATTAGGTTAATATTCTCTGGAGGGAAGAACCATGGGCCTTTAAGGCCAGTGGTCAGCTCCCAGCGAGGACATAATGAGCAGGACCACCTCCTGGGCTGCCAGGATATCCAGCTGGAGGGGTGGGCTGTGGAGGGGACCAGGGCCTCCCACCCAAGGGAGCTCCAAAGACAAGGGCCTGGAGAGTGGGAAGGCTCTGTCCTCAAGCTGTGTGCCCTTGGGCCAGTTACCTCACTCTTGGGCCTCAGTTTCCTGGTGTGTGAAATGGGGAAGTACCTCGTTGGAGTTCTGGCCCCAGTTACCCTCCCCCAGAAGATTCTAGCAGCCTCATCTCTGGCCTCCCTGCTTTGGGTCTCATCCTCTCCAGTCTCTGTTCCACACTCTGGCCAGCGTGCTCTTCCTCGGCACGGTCTGGGCTCCTTGGCCTGGCATCCAAGGCTGAAATCTCAGCCTCCTGTCTCCTTCCTTGCTGTCCCAGCCTCTCTGTCCCAGCCTCGCCCTGCTCCTCCAGGTTCATCAAACAGCTGGAGCTCTTGGGCCTCAGCTGCGCTCCCACGGTGTAAGTCATTTCCCCTCCCTGGCCTCAGTCAGTTCCCCTCACTGCACCCTGTTCCGTGCACACACCAGGACTGTTCCCGCCCCAGAGCCTTTGCATATGCTCTTCCCTCTGCCTGGAACACCCTCCCCTTCTCCACCTGGGTGACTCCTGCTCCTTATCCGGGTCCCAGCTCACTGTCACCCCCTCTAGGAAACCTTCCCAGGTCTGATTCATCTCCCTTTGCCCAGCACCTGGCACAGACCAGGCAGGAGTGCCCACCTGGCCCCTTCCCTCTCTCCTTAGCTCACCTCCAATCCCTTTTGCTTTGTCCCATTGCAGCCTCCATGAGGGCAGCCGAGCAGGTGTTCCAGGACTGTGCAGAGATCCAGCGCTTCGGGGCCAATGCCAGTGGCATCTACACCATCCATGTGGCCAATGTGACGGGGCCCAGGAAGGTTAGGGGGCTCCCCGGGGGCTGAGCCAAGGGCCTCCCAGACAGATCCCCCATCAGCTCAGGCTTTGTCCAACATCTGAGATACCAGAGCACGTGGGGTGGCCGTTCTGGTGCCCCAACTCAGTGAGGGGTCAGATCGTGGGGTTAAAGCAAAAGTTCCCAAAGTTGGAAGTGCATCCTTCTGCATCTTCTCCAGAAATGCCTTTAGTTGGAATAGCAGGAAATAGTTCTATGTTGGTTCAGGTAATGCTAGCTGCAATAACAAATAAATCCTGAAATGCCAGGGGCTTAACACAGAGAAGTTTATCTCTAGTTTACCTATAGTCCAGTTGGAGGCAGGTGTGGGGGCTCTGCTCCACGTGGGAAATCAGGGACCGGGCCTGATGGAGGCCCCACCGTCTTCAGTGAGTGGCTCCCAAGGTTGCTCTGAGCTTTGAGATGCAGTTGTCAGATGGGGGGCGAGGTCAAGGGAAAGTGCGGATGTCAGGAGGGTGGGTTTGGGGGCCAGGCCCAGAAGTGGATGAGCATGGAGAACAAGTAGCCAGTCTTCCCACCTCATAATTCCCTTTCAGTTTCCTTTCAACTGTCTCAATATATCGAGGAGAATGGCTCCATTTGTTTCCAGAATTTCTTTAACACTCCTTGCACACCTGCTAAACTCCCCTTGTAACAAAGAGAGATCAGGTCCTCAATTTCTAGCCAGAATTTTGCAACACTAGTTTGTTTTCATTATATTCATTTTTACAATTATCTGAATAAAAGCAAATATTACTAGTTTTCCCTTTGTGGTACTGATAAGATTTCCTTTTAAAATATGCTTAATCAGAGTATTTATTTAAAAAAAAGGGCACCATTTTTTTAAGTAAATAGGCTATATTAAATTAGGTAAATTCAGCTATGGTGGAATTCGGGAAACTATGAATAGCTGAAATTTGGGAACACTGATAGAGAGGGAAGAGCTAGCCTGGGAGGCAAGAGATCTGGGCTCAAACCTCAGCTTTACTTTTCTCACTTGCCTTGAACAAGTCCCTTCCCGTCTCTGGGCCTCAGTTTCCCTTCCTGTACCCTCAGCTACCCCCACAATAGATACCACTGTCTTGTCTCCCTGAGCAGGCCTTTACCATCTTAGAGCCTCTACTCCTGCTGCTGTCCCCACTGGAAATGCCATTCCCACTCATCTCTACCTGGCAGGCACATCATCATCCAAGGCCCTGTTCCAGTGCCACCTCCTCTGGGAAGCTTTCCAGGGTTGCCCAGTGACTCCTTCTTGGGGGTTCTCCTTGTAGCTGCCCAAATAGCTGTTCATAATCCATAGTCTGCCTTCCCCATCATAGCCTCCTCCAGACCAAGCCAGCCCCAAGTGTTGATTTATCTCTGATTCATCTAGTCCAGGGCCAGCCACCAAGTCTGTCCTCACTGAACATTGAACATGTACTGAACTGGCTGGAAAAGTAATACAAAGTGAACAAAGCTTAGACTGAAAGATGTGATTGTGATGGAAGGAAGCTCTTTGAGAGAGAGAACTCTTTGTGTCTTTTCCATATCGGCATCCACAGTGCTTTGAATGGAGCCTGGCACACAGTAGGTGCTCAGAAAACATTTGTCCACTGAATGTAAGAGCATTTCCTGAATCTACACTGTGTGCCGAGCACTTTACACCTCTCGGCATTTAATCCCTACAGCAACCTTGCAATAATAGTGAGTGAAGAGCCTCCATTTATTTAGTTCCTAGAAAGTGCCAGGCTCGCTTCTCTAGATGACTCATCTCGTTTAATTCTCACAGCAACCCCAGTTTGCAGATGACAAACTGAGGCACAACAAGGTGAAGGTATTAAGATGGTAATTTGACAAATGAGGAAAGGAAGGCTCTGAGAGGGCATCACTTGCCTACCATTTTAGAAACATGATGACAACAGGTGGGGAATTTGAACCTGGATCTTTCTGATGCCCTTGACCTCCAGGTTCACCTTTTGCTCTGTGAGGTTCTGTCAGCCAAATCTACACTTGGGCCAGCCCAGACCTGGCTTCTGGCTGCCTCCAAGTGCTTCCAACTCCCTCTCACCCAATTCTCTCTAGGTGTTCTGTGACATGGAGGCCAATGGAGGTGGGTGGACCCTCATCCAGCGCCGTGAGAATGGCAGCGTGAATTTCCAGCGGAACTGGAAGGATTACAAACAGGTAACGCTGCTGCCCTGGGGAGGGGCTTTTCGGCCCTAAAACCTGGGGCAGGAGAGGGGTTGTAGGCACGGGACTGGTTTGCCCTCAACCCTTCCCAGAAAAAACTCAGCCCACCTAAAACCAACCACCTTCAAATAGATTTGCCCAGGCACATTCCCTGTCAGGAGACCCTATCACCTGGAACTGAACCTTCTTTTTGCAGGTTCTGATATATACCCTAAGAATGAAAGTTTAACTTCATTTTTGTCTTAATTTTTGGAAAGATAATACATGTACATTGCTAAAAAGTTTTAAAGAACACAAAAAAAGGGAACAGAAAAAAAGTCGTCTCCCCCGCCCACCCCTGGCGGCATCGCTTAAATGAATGTCCTTGTCTTTGCACACGTATGTGACCACATCTGCAAGGGCGATTCTTTAATACAGAATTGTTGGCTCAAAGACCCCATGCGTTTTACAAGATGAGCAATAGTGCCCGATTGTCTTCCAATTTTTTAATTAAATTTTGAATACAGGAATTTTGGCAAGCTGACTTAAAAGCTCTTAAAGTTTTCAAAAGCAAGAGAAATAGAAAAAGATACACAGAAATACAACAATATTATTATTTGTGTCTGCCTGCTGTTCATTTGATAAATGCTTTAAAATAAATACCAAGTTAAGCTATGAGTATTCTTAAACCAGTTGGGTTTTAAACCATCATTAAAATGGCAAACAGGGCCGGCCCCGTGGTTTGGCGGTTGAGTGCGCACGCTCCGCTGCTGGCGGCCCGGGTTCAATCCCGGGTGCGCACCAACGCACCGCTTCTCCGGCCATGCTGAGGCCGCGTCCCACATACAGCAACTAGAAGGATGTGCAGCTATGACATACAACTATCTACTGGGGCTTTGGGGGAAAAAATAAATAAATAAAATTATAAAATGGCAAAGAGAAATAGGGTGGTCAGATGCAGAAATACACAAAAGAGTGCTGAACATTAACCATTAGGAAACCAGCGGCACAGCATGACTGAAATGGGGAGTGGGGCGTCTTAGGTGTGCTGCTGTCCTTGGTGCTGAATAAGTGTTCTGGCCAAGGGCATTGGTTTCCCATCACCCTGGGACAATGGTGACTCCCAATGCTCTTAGCTTTCCCTGTCTATGTTGCTGAAATTTTGCAGTACCTGCCATGTCACTGAACAAAGTTTGCTCTACGATTTATGCAGCCGATTAAAATCTTCAATTTTTTATTGAGATTTAAAATACATGCAGCTAAGTGCGCAAATCTTAAGTGTAAACTCAATGAATTCTTACATATGTATTACCCATGTGACCACCATTCGAAGCTAGATATACAGCACACACTTCCAGCACCCCAGAAGCCCTTCTTGTGCCCCCTCCAACTCAATACTCCCCAAAAGTAGTCACTATTCTGACTTCTATCACCACCGATTCATTTTGCCTATTCTTGAGCTTCATAGAAATGTGATTTCAATTATTTTTAACAGGATTTTACACTTACAAAAGTCGTAGTCTTTTTGCTCTAGGAGATGGGGCACTCCCACCCCCAGGCCTGCCCACACTATACTTTATGAACTTGATCATTAGGCAAGGTGGTTTTGGATAAGTGGCCCCGGAGCCTGGCCCAGCCCAGCTCCTCAGCCAAGGATGTAGCCTCCCTCCTGGGCATGCAGCCCACGTCATCCTCTCCTCCCCTTAGGGCTTTGGTGACCCAGCCGGGGAGCACTGGCTGGGGAATGAAGTGGTGCACCAGCTCACCAGCAGGGCAGCCTACTCTCTGCGCGTGGAGCTACAAGACTGGGAAGGCAATGAAGCCTACGCCCAGTATGAGCATTTCCAGCTGGGCAGCGAGGGGCAGCTGTACAGGTGGGCTCGGGGCCCACGCTGGTGGGCGGGCTGGGGTCCCTGGGCTAGGGCTACAGAGTCTGCACCAAAGGTCAGTCCCTGGGCGTCTCCTGTTCCTCCCATCTGTCCCCCATTTGGGTGCACGTCATGGGATCTGGAGCTGGTTGGTTAGCACTCAGCACGTCCGGCCACTGGGTGGGGTGGAGAGGATGTCACTGATGCTACCATCCCAGGAGCAGGAAGGGGCCGTCCAAGGTCAGTCACCCTGAGTCAGTCATTTTATAGAAGCCCAGAAGGGGGGAGGTGACTTTCCCAGCCTGTCCTATGCTGTGGGGTGAGGTGGAAAGGTCCCTGGGCTGGGAATCGGGGGACCTGGGCTCATTCTGGCTCTTCTCCAGCTCACTTTGTGAACTTGGGCAAGTCAAGGTTCTGGCTTCTCTGTACCTCTGCTTCTTAGCTGCAGGATGGGGTTAAATATAAGTATATTGTAAAATCATCAAGGTCTTCACCCCGCCCCCCAGCCTGGCTCTTGGCTCTGTTCCCAAGAAGGAAGGAGCATTATGGAGCACCTACTGTGTCCCAGGCACATTACTCCATTTAATCCTCCCCACAACACTCCAAGGTAAGCATTACTGTACCTCTTTTAGTGATGTAGAGACTGAGGCACCGAGCTCAGGTCTCCCTGCTGCCAAAATTCACGGTGTTTACATGATGTTGCCCCTCTGAGAAACTCAAGGATCTTGAAGATAAGCCTTGGTCCTGGTTATCTTTGAACCAGGACAGAATTGAATTCACAGGCTCACACTCACTGGGCTGTGAAGGACTTACATGTCATCTGGTTCTTCATGTGATGCTAGAATCAGTCACCATCCAGCCATGCTGGAATCCCTCCACTGATGGGGAGGTCACTTCCTCCCAAGGAATCCCTGATGACTTTGTCCCCCTGCACCTTCTGCCTAATTCCTCCTCTGGGGGCTTTTCAATGATGGGTCTCCACCCCACTCTCTTCTATTAAGTGCCCCTGGTTCCTCCAGCGAGGTGGTTCTGACATCCCTCCTTATGGGATCCACCCCAATCTGATAATATTCCTCCTTAAACTGCAAGGCTCAGAGCTGAATGAAACATCCCCTGGGTCTGGGCTGAGCCAGATGCCCCCTACTCCTCAAGCTGACCAGTGAGTAGCCACAACGCCCTGCTGACTCCTATTTAAGCCACTGACCACCAAAGCTGAGGCTTAAGTCCTGACTCTGTCCCTTTCTCCCTGAGTGACCTGAACAGGTCCCTCCACCTTCACATCTGTAAAATGGGTACCGTGTGTATACCTCCCATATTCACAGTGCTAGAAGCTTGCATGAGATGCTGCACTTGGGGCACTGGCACAGTGCCTGGCCCTTAGTAAATGCTCTGCAGATAATATTATAATCGCGTCTCCGAGCAGCCCTTCACACACGTGGCTGGCCTGCTCTGTGTGAGGTCACTTCAGCTCCCGTCCCCAGTGCCTGGTACGTGCATAGCAGGAAGCTAGAGGAGCATCTTAAATCTCTCCTGTACATGTAGCAATTCAGCCTCATCTCCTTGACCCAATTCTTGGGCAGCAGCTTCTGTGGCCCTAAGTCCAGGATCTGCCGTTTGTCTTGGGGAAGAAATATCCAGAGAAGTATTTCATTGCACTAAAGAACACAGCCCTTGGGGCCGGCCTGGTGGCAGTTAAGTGCGCGTGCCCTGCTGAGGCGGCCCAGGGTTCGGATCCTGGGCACGCACCAACACACTGCTTGTCAAGCCATGCTGTGGCGGCATCCCATATAAAGTGGAGGAAGATGGGCGCAGATGTTAGCCCAAGGCCAGTCTTCCTCAGCAAAAATGAGGAGGATTGGCGACAGATGTTAGCTCAGGGCTAATCTTCTTCACAAGGGAAAAAAAAAAGAACCCAGCCCTGGAGCCAGACTGTCTGGGTATGAATCCCGACTCTACCACTTATTGGCATCGTGACCTTAGACAAGTTACTTAACCTCTCTGTGCCTTAGTTTCCTCATCTGTAAAATATAATATCTATTTCATAATTGAGATAATCTGTTGAAAGACATCTAGCATATGGTAAGTGTTAAATAAATGTTGGAGATATACAACTAATATATTCAGAGACAGAAATACAATATTTCTGCATCTATGTATATCTCTTTTGTCCATCTAGACAAACATACATACGTATGTTAAATTTGGAATTCCCTGCCACATTCTCATATGTGAATTTGACACACTGCCTCTGGCTTTTTATGTGAGCTCCCTGCCCGTGGTTCCAGACTACTACGCCCAGGCCTCTAAGGGCCCACATCTACTTGACCGTCTGAAGAGCCCTAAATAATAACAGTATATTGAACACTCGCCTTGTGCCAGGCATGAGCTGGAACTAGTCATTTGAGGAAGAATCAGACCTGGGCCCCACCCCTCAAAGTTGTTCACAGCCCAGTGTGTTGTGTGTGTCTGGGGGTGACGAGTCCGCAGGCAATCCTATACCCCCGGGAGAGAGGAGCTGCTTAAGGGGAAAGCACAGGGGCACAGAGATGCTTGTGCAATCAGGGAGGGCTCCCTGGAGGAGGTGACACCTATAGAAGGTGGGCATTCTCCAGACGAAGAGAGGATAGGAAGGGCATCCCAGGCAGTGGGGATGTTCTGAAAAAAGGCAGAGAGAGAGTTGACAGCCAGCTGGCCACAGATACCCCAACCTGAGCAAGACTCTTTCAAGGGCTGCTGGGATCATAAAGAAGAGTCTCCGCTCATTCAGGAAAAGCTTGGGAGACTAAAGGTGGAGATCCTGGAAAGCACAGGAGGGCCTGGAAAATGCCGGAGAAGACCAAGAGGAGAGTGACAGGATAGACGCTAGTCCCTGTGCCCCCACTGTACAGAGTCAGCCGGTTGGTGAGGCAAGGAGGATCCCCACAGGGAAGCCCAGAGGCGGCGAAGCAGCGGCAGTCAGCAGCAGGGGCACCACATTTGTCAGACACAATATTGGGGGACTTCTGGAGCCCAGCTTGGGTGCATGCATAAGCCTGCAGAGGAGGCGGCCCATGGGGAGGACGGGGGAGGCACAGGCACGGCACAGGCACACACAGACACAGGGCATCTGCCTCCCAGGGGCGCCCACACCTCCAGACCCAATGACAAGTGCGAGATACACGCAGATACACAGGGACACACACAGCACACATGCACATGTGGAGGGCTCACCACACCCCTGGGGTACACACTTGGCCTACAGAGCACACAGACTCACAGAAGTGCATAGCTATACAAACAAGCACAAACACACACCCAGACACGTGCAAATGTGCCTCACAGAAGCCCTCGAAGATCAACACACACACACAATCCCAGGCATGGAGCAGATTCTAGAACACACTCAGACCCACTGTCGATACTGTTGCACAAACTCAAAATAGACACACAGAGGGGCGTGCAGGTGTGAAGAATCGTGTCCGGATGCTCACCACTGCAGACACACGGACCCACACACAGATATATGGACATGTGGAAAACACAGCCGTGTGTCTAACTTGGGGAACCCCAGAGACTCCTTTGTGTGTTTGGGTTCCCCGGGCCTGAGCCGTGAACATGTTCCAGGTGCATCTGATCAGCAGGTCCAGTGGGTTTCCTGGTGCCTGACTTGAGGGTCTGTCAGAGGTCTCACATCCCCTTTCTGGCTCCCAGGGGGGAGGGGAGGAGAGGCAGAGTCTGAGCTGAGGCCCTGGGGACAGCAGAGGGGCCGGTGCTGCTGGAGTGGCCTCGTGAGACCCGTCAGCTCTGTCCAGCCCTGGGAGCTCGCAGCCCCAGACTGAATGTGAGCCCAAACCTCAGCCTGAGCCCCGAGCCTGGCCTTGAACTGACGTCAAGGAAACCTCCAGGGGCCCTCAATGGCCACAAGGAGAAGCCAGGACCTCATTACGGGTGGGCCAGCCTGCCGGTCCCCACCCCGGGGAGCCCCTGGCCAGGCGGGCCTCTTGGCAGGCGGATTTGTAATACCAGTCAGGCGAGCCCAGGGTGGCACGTTTAAGGACATAGTTGGGGCTTCACGGCTGGCCACAGCCCTCTGGACCCTGAAGGCCATGCCCCTGCCTCACCACAGACATACAGAGCCCATGAGTGGGAGGTGCAGGGACTGAGCCAGGCCACACGCCCGTGCCCCACCCTCCGGATCCCATGGGGCATCTCCCGGGCCCTGCCCTAGGGAACAGCAGCTGCCCTGAGCTGCCCTGAGCTGCATCTGCTGTCCACTTGCCTCCACCCGTAGGACCTTCTTAATTGCTCCTAAACCGTCTTCCCACCTCAGCTGCCAGGGCCGCCCCTCCCCTGCGACAGGCACCCAACACGCTCTCCAGCCAGGCTCAGCGGAAGCCTGTGCCAGCGTGTGCCAAGGGCTGGGAACACAGGACAGACGAATAACAACCAGCACTAAATGTGCTGAGCGTTTACCACGGGCCTGCCCTGCTCTGACTCATCACACACTGAGCTCATCCAATCATAGGAGCTGAGTGAGGTTGTCCCTGTCAATATTACTATCGTTACCATTTTAATAGATGAAGAAGCTGACGCCGAGAGGCGAAGCAGTCTACCCAAGGTCGTGCAGCTGACGAGTGGCAGAACTGGGACTTGAATCCAGGTGTTCTGCCCCCAGAGTTCGTGGTCATAGTCACCACACAGGCTTGGACGTGCCCACCACGCCTCACAGCCTGGCAGAGAAATACAAACCCTCCCCAGCTGGCAGCAGATGTGGAAGTCGCAGGGCCGGGGGTGCCCCGGGGCACAGATCCATGAGGACTAGTGTGGTCAGGGAAGGCTTCCTGGAGGTGGGTGGATGTGAGGAGGTGTGACAGGGCTGGGGAGGGAAATGCACACAGCTCCCAAGTCAGGCCACACTGGGCTGGGATCTGGCTCTCACTCTCGTTCGTTCTGAGACCTTGGGCAGGCTCCTGTGGCTCTTGGGATCTCAATTTCCTCATCTGTAAAATGGGAATAAGGGTGTTGTGAGGATTAAATGAGAATGAGTTAACCCCCATGTAAAGCACTTTGAACAATGCCTGGCACATAGTAGGTGTTTTTAAAAATGTTAGACATTGGCCTCATTATTAGTATTATGATGATCTTCTCACTCCTGTCCATGCCTCAAGTTCAGTGAGATGAGAGGCCTGGCACACAGCGGGTGCTCTGTCCCTGGGAGGCAGCAGGCAGGGAGGGCAATTCCAGAGGAGAGACAACCCAGGCATCCCAGGCTGGCGCCTCCCCCTCCCTTAACAACCAGAGGGGAGCCCCAGCCTGGGACAGAGCCTCCTGGGGAGGCCCTTCCTGCACCAGCCCCAACCTGACTCTGGGCCCCTCTCCTATCACCGCCTCCGGGTGGCCTCCAGGCTTTCTCTGAGCGGATACAGCGGCTCAGCAGGGCGCCAGAGCAGCCTGGTCCTGCAAGGCACCAACTTCAGCACTCGTGACGCAGACAACGACAACTGTCTCTGCAAGTGCGCCCAGATGCTGTCCGGAGGTGGGTGCGCGGTGGGGTAGAGCCCCGCCTACCCACAGGCTCGCCTGGCTGGACACCCCCATTCCCTCCCGAATGAGGTTCTTGTGCAGCCCGGTGCTTCTCGGGATGGGGTGCAGGTCGGGGTCTCCCCCACCCACGGGCTGGCCTGGCTGTGCCCCATCCATACCTTCCCCCACCGAGTCCTTGAGGTCCCCTCCAGGGTCTCACCTCCTCCTAGAACGGGCACCACCAGTTTTCCCCTGAGACCAGGCCAGAGGAACACTGAGGGTGGGGCCCAGGAGGCACCATGCCCCATGAGTCCCAACCCCAGGCCTGAGAATTGCCACCCCCCAGGCCAAGCAGGACCAACATGGGGGACACCAGGCAGGGGCAGAGGGGCGGCTCCCCACCAACTCAGGCTCAGGCAGTGTTCTTTGGGGGGAACAGAGGTCAGAGAGTGGGAGATGAGAATGAATCAGAGACAGACAGAGTGGGAGAGACAGAGATAGGAAGAGAGACCTCTTGAGACACAGACGGAGACAAGAGAGATGGAGACAGATGGAGTCGAGGGAGACACCAGACACCAAACATAGGGCAGTGGAGATAGAGAGCTACACGGGGACAGGAGTACAGAGGGAAAGATGGAGAGCGAAATGCAGACCACCAAAAGACAGGTGGACACAGTGTGTGAGAGACAGAGACCCGGAAAGGCAGGACAACAGAGATCAAAGAGAGAGACAGAGACATCAGAGAGAGACACACACAGAGACAGACACAAGCACGGAGACCATCAGAGAGCTGCGCTCCAAGGCCCCAGGCTGAGCAGAGGAGTCTCCTGCCCCCCATGCCCTCTCCCACTCAGCCTCGGATCCAGGGGCTGGCTTCCTGGAGGAGGCAACAGCCCTGATTAGTCTTTCGGGTGGGGGACTGCCCTCACCCCACTGGGCCCCCACCTCCCCAGAGCCTCTTCCTCCCCCTCCGCAGGGTGGTGGTTTGACGCCTGCGGCCTCTCCAACCTCAATGGCATCTACTACCCGGCCCACCACCACGTGCGCAAGCTCAACGGCGTCCGCTGGCACTACTTCCAGGGCCCCAGCTACTCACTGCGCACCACTCGCATGATGGTGCGTCCCGCGGGCATCTGACGGGCAGCCGCGCCTGGAGGCTTGACCACAGGCGGAGCTGGGGCTCGGAACCGCCCTGACGAGCTGGACAAACACAGGACACGGGGCCAGGGCTTGTCCGGGACCCCCTGGGTCTCCTGAGCCAGCCCTCCTCGCCCCAGGAGTCCAGAGGAGTCAGCCGCCTCCCTGTGCCCCTCATTGTGAAATGGCAGGCGCTGGGGGATCCTGCCTCTGCGGTGTGCCTCTCTCCTCTTCCCTCCCGTCTCCTGCCTGCTGAGGCTCACAGTACCCTGCATGAGCTGAGAACAGACTTAACTTGGCTCCTCAAAGGAACACATGACTAATGGTGGAATTTCAGGAGGTGGGAAGGTATTTACAGGCAGGAGACTGCAGAGCTGGAGGCCCAGAGTCTGTCCCTGGGGTTAGTAGGAAGGTCATCTATTCCAAGCTTTCTCAGCCTTGTGACGCCCTTGAACTTCTGTTCACGGCTGAAAGGGCAGCGTCCACCCCAGAATGGGCATCACTATTTCCCCCCACACTGTCCACCCCTCTGCGGCCCCAGCATCTGGAGCTCAGATCTGGTCTCTCAGGGGCTTCAGGAGATCTAAGAGGGATTCCTTTACCCCTAGCGTGTCCTCGAATGTGTTTCAGAAAGAATAACTCAGGATCCCCTCTAGAAGTACCTATGATCAAGTGAGAGAGGGAAACACCAGGTTAAATCAATGTGAACAGGCCGTCTTGGCTGCAGGACTTGTCAGAGCCTTTAATGTGGTCATGTGCCTTGTGACCGCCCAGGAAGGAGCTAGAGTGGGCAGCTTTCTCCAAATATACTTATTTGAAAATGGGCCCTGTTCATCCCAGAGCATCTCTCAGGGCTGTGGATGCCCTTGGAAAAGCTGGTCCTCGCACGTCCTGAAGAGGAGGTCCAGGGCCCCCTCCCCTACCCCCATCTGCACTCACCCTTTCTGGCTACAATGAAGGTCTCAAACAGCCTCTAAAAACAACTTGAAGGAAGCTTTGGGTTAAAGCAGACACACACCATCCCTGAGGAAGGGTCTAGGACTAAGTTCCCTGTCTGTGCTGTGGGCTGGTGTCCTCCCGGACTCCTTCCAGCCCTAGGAAGCCGGATCTCTGCTTGGGGCTGCCCCTCAGCTCTCCCTGTAACCCTGGCTCACCCTGGCTCAAGTTCAGGCACTGTTGGGGACTGTCCACTCTGCCTTGTGCAGAACACCACTCTCCAGTCTAGATCTTTCCCCTCCAAGCTGGAATCCCAGCCCCTCCTCCAGCCTCGTCCAGCAGCGATGCTGCAGCTGGGGGTCCGCGGGAGGAGGGAGTATGGGGGAGACTGGGCCTTTTCGTGAGACCAGGGGCTCCTCGTGAGCTTCTCTCAGAGCACAGGGTCAGACGGGCCACAGCCACTCTGCCACCACCCCCTCACTGTGTCACCCTCCTCAGCCCTGATGAGGCCACCACAGTCCTGGCATCTTCGGCTAACACCTGGGCCCTGCCAGGATGGCTAGGATGCACCTCTGGCTTCAGAAGCTTTTCTCCTGGATTAGGCTGGGGCGGTGGGAACAAGGCCCCTTCGTGTCCCCGCCCCGGCTCTGCCCAGCCCCTGAGTCACCTCCGCCAATCCCCTGAGTCGAGCCAGCGCGGGTTAACGCTGAGTTCCGTCGGGAAAACTGAGGGATGTGGCTGCTGATGGTGGCATTTCAGGCAGGAGGGGGAAGTACGTAGGGGCAGGTTGGCCCAGAGGGCTCACCCAGCCTTACACAGTATTTGCTGACGGGCCTTTATTTAGCACCTGCTGTGTGCAATATGGTACTGCGGGGCCTTTGCAGTCAGACAGACCTGCTCCGGCTCTTGGACTCAAGGCCAGTGGCTCAGCCTCTCGAGGCCTCGATTGTCTTGTCTGTGAAGTGGGGATGATGCCACTCCCTCCTCACTGGGCTGTGGCAAGGAGGAAATGAGACCCGTATGTCAACTCTTAACAGAGCCTGGCGTGAAGCAGGTGCCTAATAAATGTTAGTTCCCAGAGAGGTGAGTGGGGTGCGCCTCACCCCTTCTCCTGGACCCAGGTAAGGTAAGCATTTACTTTTGTATCCCCAGCGTTTATTTTTGTGCTGCAGAGTTTATAGGCTGCCTGGATGCTGGAGAGGTGAGGGCAAAGCTGTGGGCCCCGGGACAGACTCCTCTGCCTGCGGTGAAGCCCCAAATCCCTGACTGCACTCCAGTTTCCTAAAAAAGGCTAAGAAGCTGATTTGGGGCACCCTCGGACACCTGTTCTTAAATAGTCATCCTTCCTTCTCACTTCCATCCTCCTCCATGCCAGGACTCCCCAGCGCAGGGGATAGAAACTCTCCTAAGGAATGGATTGACTCACATACCAGGAGGTCTAGGGGTGGATTCAGGCACAGTTAGATCCAGGGACTCAAACGACATCCCCTGTCCACCCCTGTGGCCCCACAAGCCCCAGGCTCATGTCCTCCCAGCCCAGCATCTCTAGGACAGAAAGCTCCCCTGTCCCCGTGGTTCTAGCAAAGGCATGGTTTTTCTCCAGCCAGGACTGGTCCTGTGCCTATCCCTGCACTTGTCACAGATTCTGATTGACCAGACCTGTGTCACATGATCATGCCTGGAACCAGGGGGTGGGGTCAGTCCCAACCAAGTCATGTGGACTAGCAGTGGGGACACTGAGGCGCTGTTTCAGGAAGCAGTGATGCTGGGCAGGTAAGAACCGGTGATCAGTTTTCTCCTTCCATCTCTCTGACTCCCATCTCTCATCTCTCCATCTCTGTCCCTTCTCACTGCGCCTGGCCCCAAGGCCTGGCCCCGGGCTCCAGCTCATCCCTGGGTTCCCCCAACTATCAGGGACACAGCTGTGTCCTGCCCAGAGCTGTCAGCCCCTGGTCCACAGTCCTGCCTCAGTCCCTGGAGCAGAGCCCCTGGCCCTCTCTGAGCCTCCGTTTCCCATCTGTGCAGTAAGGATGGAGCACCTGCAGGCCTCTAAAGGCCCTCTGACGGTGAGGCTGACTCACGATGGCTACAGACAAGACCAGCTGGAGGACCCTGCGCAGCACAAGGCCCTGTGGAGGACATGGCTGCGGCCTTGGCAGGGTCTCCTGGGAGCTGCTGCTCACAGGAACTGGCTTCTGGGATATCTGCATCTGCAGGTTCCTATGCAGAATCCTTGTCACCTCTCTTTCCATCAGACCAGCATTCTCCCCATTTTAGTGATGAAGAAATTAGAGCTCAGAGAGGGAAAGGGTTTCATCCAAAACGGCACAGCTCATCACCACCTCCAGGGCACTTGCATCTATGAGCTGCCTCCCTCATCCAGAGCTCTCTGGAGGCATCTTGGCACTGACCATAAAAATGCTGATGTGATGTCCCCTCCACCTATAACAAGGGCTGAAGGAACATTCTGGAAAGCTCTCCAAGACCAGTGTGTCTTTCCCATTGGCACCTGATAGGTCCCGATGGAACTAGATGGGCAGAACATATTGTTCCCAAGATGTCTGCTGTTCCCAGCAAAAACAATTTCCACCCTGGGGAGAGAGGTCACGGTGCACACTCCAGGGAGGACAACCGTGGTGAGGTAGAAGGTGGCCCTTTGCAGGGGGTAGGGGAGCAACCAGCATCGGAGTGGTTTGTCTCTTTGGCTGGGTATTTGATCCCTTTTTCCAGATTTTCTTCCCCCTCAGTGTCTGTGTGAGCCTTCACCTCTCCCCTTTAAAGATGCTTCAGAAAGCTAACAGCGTTGCCTTGGCAACACCAGCATCAGCATCTTTTGATGGAGCAGTCCCTCAGAGAATGGAGTCTGGTCCAGGCCACGTCCGGCGTAAATGTGTTCCTTTCTTGTGCTACAGTAACGTGGGGTCGCGTAGCTGAGGTTCCCCGAGGGCAGGGGAATCGAATGGTGTTGAGCACCCGACACACTCCTGCACTACCCCGTGAGACCTCTCTGAGCCTCTTTCCACGTCTGCACAGTGAGGAGGCTGGAGTCCAGTTCACGAGGAAGTGGTGTGAGCTCAGGGTGATGATGGACATCCAGGCCGGGCACGTTCATTCATGTATTTATTCGTTTACGCGTGCATTCGTTCATTCACATGGCAGGTATGTAGTGAGGACCTGCCTGGACCAAGGCCTGGCTGGGTGATGGGGATGGAGCAGTGAACAGGACAGACATCCACGGTCCTGTTCTCATAGAGCTTAACAGGCTAGAGGGAGAGACTGGCCAAAACCAAATTTTTTTTTTTTTTTTTTTTTTTTTTTTTTTTTTTTGGTGAGGAGATCAGCCCTGT